AATGGTTTGGTCAATTGATCTACATATGATAAAACTAATATAAAAGAAGAAAACTATCGAGAGCAAAATCTCCCCCTAAACAAAACTCTTTAATGATTACATTGTAGATATTTTTTGTTGTACTCTTGTGAGAGGTAGAGATCCTTAATTTATAGATATGCAAAACTTGTCTTCCAAGAAAAGGATAAGACATATTAAGGAAATTTAATCCTTTTAGGAGTCTTTTTCCATTCCTTTAAGAAAGAGAGTCCTAATAGATTAGAAATTCAAGACAAATCCTAACAATAAAAGGCGTCTAAAACTTTTGCAAAGCAGAAAATTTATATTTCTTCTATGAAAATTGACACCATTAAATCATCTACAATACAAGGAGGCACCACATAGATTACAGAAAAATGAGAACCATTGTACTGAAGCGACTATCACATTGATAACTTTCTTACCTTGCACAAATCAACCACATAAAATCAAGTTTTCTGAAAGAGAAATAATGAAGGACTACTACATGCCAAATTTCCTCCACTGACTCTTTCCATCTTCGTGAGCCGAGTCTCTACTCCGGACCCCACTTGTGGGATTACACTGGTTGTTGTTGTTGTTGTACTACATGCCAAATTGCAGCATGATATACTCCGCATCGATAGCATACTTAGACACAGATTTTTAGAGATACATGTGACTTGCTGTAATGCACGATTCAACAATAACATACCCAGTATAATCCCACATAGTGGGGTCTGGGGAGGGTAATGTGTATGCAGCCCCTCTCTTGTGGAGGTAGAGATGCTGTTTTCAATAGACCCTCGACTCAGGAATGCACGATTAAGTTCTCAAAATGCATTGTTATCTAACAAGGTTGTGGTGTTCATCATTTAGGAGGCAACTTCCAGAAGCTTGAATGAATGTTGAGGTATGAGTTACACAAGCATGCTTAAGTGAATAGAAATAGTTACCCACTGCAGTTGAAGCAATGAGACTGGTCCTCTAAGGAAACTTACCGTTCTACTAAAGCGCTCTCGCTTGAGCATGCAGAAGAAACTTTAAAGGTTTTCTTTATGAGGTGCATTGATCCTTCTGCATCCCAAATCTCCTCATATTCATATATCTCATCTTCGCTTTTAAGTTTTGTCCCACCTCCAGAAAAGCTAGAACTAATTAGACTTCTTATATTCTTCAGAAATTCACCAAGATAGTGTGGAAAGAGCACCCCATTTGTTGGCCACAGGACGGCAATAAGAACGGTCATGACAAACAGCACTAGATACCTGACACATCCACAAACAACCTTTAACATTACAAGAAACAAGGTTTATAAGATAAATATTTTTTAATCTCAATATACTGAATTACCAAATATAAATGTATGTCTGCACAGGGAGAAAGCAAACTTTGGTGGAAATTGCCTCCTCTGGCATTGATCCGGCCGGTAAGATAAGATTACTTGCAGATAAGAGCATGAAAGATGGAAACAGATTTCCCATCTGCCAGCTTATGGTCCCTAGAGTGTGCTGCCCAACACTATCAATCAAACACCATCCAGCCAATACAAACTACTTTTTCAATTGAACAAGGTACAATACCTCTTTTACAGAACCATATTTGGATCTGTGGGTTACCGTACACTGATCGTGGTCATGCCCAGAAAGAATTAGTGCCTGCAGAAACTCGAATTAATGCATAGAAATTTCTTCCTTTTTTATTTGCTTTTTTGTTTTGTACGTGCATCATAAAATGAAACGAAATACTTACAGGTTTGATAGACTCAAGCAGGTCATTTGTTCCGTTTTCAGTAATATAGTTTTGATATCTGCAAATGGAATTGTAACCAAGTCTGACATCAATATCCATGCGTACAAACACCGTAAATCCATACTAAGCCACTACAGTGAGAGTAAGAGCTTACAATATTTCATTATCACGAGCAGCACGGTTGATTCTCTGAAATAAATAACAAATATGTAATTTTTTATTATAAATATGAGAGATATGTTAATTAACCATATTACAAAAAAAAAATCACAATTTTCTCCTCAAAATAGCAATAATCAAACAGAAAAAGAATTTTTGAGGACTGTTTAGGTTCTCGAGACTCTCAATAAGGATCATTTAGGTTCTCGAGACTCAATCGCTTAATTGGAGAGGAATGGTACATGAATGGCGGTTTCCAGACGAGGAAATCCTTCCACTATAAATAGAAAAAGCTAATTTTTTTTTATTTAAGTTTTTCAAAGAAAGGCTAAACGTTACCTGATTAATGGTTGATGATAAACGATATGGACCGCATGCAGTTAGACCTGGCCGATACAATGGTATATGAGTCAATAGAACCCTTGGATTCGAAGATGGATCTGCACAGAGAAGAGCAAAATGAGCCGAGGGTCTTACACGTAAGCCAAATTCAAAACATAGATGGATAGTGATTGGCGGAACATACGCTCTGAGACATTTTTGACAAAATTCCATGTGGCAGAGGTTACATTGTTTTGGGGATTCCCTGGAGACAAGATATCTTGCTGTGAGTCTTTTCAAAATAACAACACCATGAATCGAACCAACAGAGTCTCTGTTTCATGCTAACTGATAGGAAGAAAAGCAAATCATTAAGGTGGTGTTTGGTGGAAAATATCCGAAATTGAGTTGCCAAGAAAAAAGAAATTGAATTTTTTCAAACACCTTTTTTTTTCCTTTTGGTACCAGAAAGTTGCACCCAAGAAAATAACTTTTGCACTGCAGTCTGAAAAGAGGTTTATGGAACCAATTACTGCCAGAACTAATGTGAAGATGAAAGACATGAACTTGGCACGAAATTGTAAAAAAAACTAAAGATAAATGAATTAGCATTTTTTAGACACTACATTGGTGCATAAAAAGGCTTCGAACGAATTGGGAAGCAGTGAAATAAGAGAGAGAGAAAAAGCTACTATACTCTTGAACACTCAAATATGGATGGTACAACTTTGACACTGAAAACAATGAGAATAGTTTATCTCTAAACAGTAACTGATGAAGTCCCCAAAGTTTTATATACTAAAAAAGAGATCCAAACAAAGTGCAAATTGTGAAATTACCATCCAAGGTTTGTGCATCGACTGCGACGAAATCTACTTTTCCAGCTGTAAATTGATAGTTCCTTGCACCAAATGCTCTCTCATAGCGTCTGATAACCTGCATTATGGTGTACACAGATAAGAATTGAAATAGAATAGGAGGAAATGACGCTTAGACTGCTAAATGGCTGACATATTTTGAGCATGAGAATCTAAAGAAATCATTTACTGCCAATAAAACAGATAAAAACATCCAAGATATAAATGTCAGAGACTGGACGTAGGTCTGGATCATTGCTGATTGAACTATGCAACTTGCCAAGCTCCCTGTGTCTTAAAACTTAGTGAAGATAAGCACTTTTCTCTTGGCTGGGAAAGGCAACCAGCATCCCTTAAACAGTGACGCAACTGATTTGCAAATAAATCAAATTGGAAAGAAGAAATTGATGGCCGTCATGATATGTAAAGACAGTCATCCCTTCTCCAAAAATGAAAGATTCATAAAGCTAAATGTGAAAACTTCCTTATTTAAGAAATTATATTTGAAAGAAAAATAAAAATAATACTGAATATTCTGCTTCTTAGACCAGGCCTGAGCAATAAATGCACCAAATCTGTATGTCAAAGTTTCCAGTATGCAGATCTCCATCAGGAAAGTGACATCACAAAATAGCTAGCCAAATGGAAGCATGATTTTGTCTTATAGCTTAAAACCTTGAACTCTAGTAGCAAACTATAACTTCTGGTCAGAATCATAAGTTGACTTCTATAGAAACATTTGATGCTCATTGAAACAAAGCACTGATACCACAGGCATTGAAGTTTCTTTGGGTTTCTTTAAGCATCTATAAACACATCCAATTTACCATCAACAGCAAAAAGTAGATGACCGTTTCTGAATATTCTTCATGTTATGAATAATCAATTAGTTAACTGTACTGAGTAACCGGATGATCATCACTGCATTATTGAGTTCAGTCACCCAACCCAATGAACTATTGAATTATCCCAGTTATTCAACTTATTCTGCTATAGATGATGCTGCTGTCTCCGGATCCTCTCAATGTGAAAACATGGCACTCATCAGAACTTTTGGTTGTCGAGAATTTGGGTGGGTCAAAATCCCTTTATAATTATGATCAACATGGTAACTTGCCACAGGCAATCATGGACACTATTACAGCTCACAACTAAGTTTTCTTCCAAAATTTCCTAATGTGGTAACTGAGCTTGCGCAAGCCGGAGCTCGCCAACAAATATTTCTTCAATACTCATCGTACAACGATGATCCAATACATAATAAGTTCGTTTCATGTAACATTTTAGAAGATTTATCTCCATTNTTAAGCATCTATAAACACATCCAATTTACCATCAACAGCAAAAAGTAGATGACCGTTTCTGAATATTCTTCATGTTATGAATAATCAATTAGTTAACTGTACTGAGTAATCGGATGATCACCACTGCATTATTGAGTTCAGTCACCCAACCCAATGAACTATTGAATTATCCCAGTTATTCAACTTATTCTGCTATAGATGATGATGCTGTCTCCAGATCCTCTCAATGTGAAAACATGGCACTCATCAGAACTTTTGGTTGTGGAGAATTTGGGTGGGTCAAAATCCCTTTATAATTATGATCAACATGGTAACTTGCTACAGGCAATCATGGACACTATTCCAGCTCACAGCTAAGTTTTCTTCCAAAATTTCCTAATGTGGTAACTGAGCTCGCGCAAGCCGGAGCTCGCCAACAAACATTTCTTCAATATACATCGTACAACGATGATCCTTTACATAATAGGTTTGTTTCATGTAACATTTTAGAAGAAGATTTATCTCTATTCTTCCAGAAGCTTATGAGTAATTGATACACGATGATCCACTACATAATAGTTTTGTTTCATGTAACATTTTAGAAGAAGATTTATCTCCATTCTTCCAGAAGCTTATGAGTAATTGATACATGATAAGAAATGGGATATGAACAAGTCAAAAAGCATATTAAATTCAAATTTAGCTTAGACACTCAAATAATATGTTCTGAGTATAGAACTCTATCTGAACAGTTAACACACCTCTGGCATATGCGAGTGAAAAGCAGCATACCCTATATCATGGTTTCCAGCAAGGTAGTAAAGCTTTATGTTTGCCGTTTGCTCAAGCATGTCAATGTTAAATATATGCTTAAACCGGCTCCAGGATTCCTGCCATCTATCAAATTAAATAAATCAAAGCTCAAAGCAGAAGAATAACTGGAGAACATTCAGATAGGTTATGCATGAAAACAACTAAAACATGACTTTTATAGAAGGAGTCAACTAAAAGGATTGGGCCTTGAATTAATCCAGATAATAATGTAAAAAGGGGAATGCCATGAGAACTTGTTTATCAGAGCCAGGTTTTGATCTTAATCCAAAAAGTAGTTTAACTTTTTTTTAGGAAAGACCTTCAGGCAGAACATTAAGCATATACAACTTAGTAATTAGTACTTACTCTTCATCAGACAGAAAAGGCCCACCATCAAAATAATCACCTAAGAACAGAATCACATCTGGTTTGAAAGGTAAAATAGAAGATAGGAATGCCCTGCGCATGTACAAATCTGTATAGAACTGAGCAGCTTCAAGTGCAAGGGATTTCGGGGCAAGATGAAGAGAGGTTCTATCCATGAGCTGTCAAAATGTAAGATAGCTTGTAAATATGAAGTAAAAATCGCAAAGCACAGAAAAATTATAAAATATGCACAGTAAAGCCAACTTTAGTTTCAGAAGGAATACCTGAGGATCAGTAACAACAGCAATTTTCACATAGTCACGTTGATGATCTACTCCATCCCTCTAAAATCAAGGAGAAGAAAGGTTAGTATGCCTGAGGGGTCTTTTTTATTATGATTGATGGTATAGCAATAATAATACAAAATCCCACATAACATAGTACAGTGTTTGGTTGGCTGCATAAGGAAAAAACAAATAACTAATACAGCGTTTGATTGGTGGTATTAAGCAAAACCCGTATTAAGTTATGCAGTAACTTCTGTATTATTTTTTACGGGATAGAATGTAGAATAAGAAGCATTAGTAATGCGGGGATGAAACTATTTAAAGACAAGAATCTCTTTATTATTGATGGCTGCATAACAATCTATTCAAGTAATCACCACACAATCAATATTTGCATTATAATCCCGCATAACTAATATGAAAACCAAAAGCGCCCCCCCCCCCGAGCCGAGTGTCTTACTATGCATTTTGGCACACGCCAAGCAGGAAAAACTATTACAATAATTTTTGCACTAAAAAAAAGCTTGAATGCTTATGAAGGGGACAAGCCATTAAAATGCACATACGTTAGTACTTAGATAATTAAGAAGTAGACTTCATTAAGGGGAAAGTTACCAGCAATACATGCCTTGAGTCTTACCAATGGGTATTATGAAACTTCCCCTATCTAGAGCTATCAAATTATTGCTCGAAATTAACCACAGAATTTTCCTCATAAAGGTATTTAGCATACAAATTTCACCACTCATACATGTACGTATAAGTTAACTTCCCCACAAGACTTCTTAATTTTCCTTTTAATTTTTTAAACAAGCTGTTGAAATTTTGTTGCTTTCAGTTACTGCAGTAACTTTTTTAGCATAATAAGTTACTTAGTTTTATGATAAATCTACTTTTTTGAATTTAAATTTCGGTTAGATTTTTTAGGTTTGTTGAGATATTTTGGGATTTTTAAATTCCTCTTATGCAGATTTTTCTGCAGATTATGTTCCTAATTGGCTATTTAAAGCCTTGGTATGCTTAATAAAATTATTGAGAGACTTTTTCAATCAATACTTTAAATCCTTTTGCTGCCCCATCTTTTAAAAAACCAACAGTGGTATCAAGAGCTTCATTGATCTTACGGGATCTATGAGTTCTTCCAAAAAATCATTTTCAAATCATTTTTAACCAATATCAATTTTTAAACCTATTTTCAAACATGGCAAGCAGCAGTCTCTCTTTGAATGCCCCACAAACTTTCACTGGCGACTACTATCGAATTTGCTCAGTGAAAATAAAACCATATCTTAAAACCTATGATTTGTTGAATGTTGTAAAGGAAGAACAATCCTTACCAGCAATCCATGAAAATCCTATCATTGTCCAGAATCAAATACTTTCAAAAGAGATTTTAGATAAGACAAGGTCACTAAGGGTGTTCTTCGTGCACAAAACCATAAGACGAAAAAGAAAGAAGAAAAAAAGAAAAAGAACTGCACTACAAAAGTGTGCAATTTCAGCGATGCTCAAAACAATCCTCAAGGACAAATAACCGAAGCAAGAATTGAGGAGGAGCAACTTTTTAAATTGTAGCAACTGAAGCAAAGGAGGAGTGTTGAAATTTTGTTGCTTTTAGTTACTGCAGTAACTTTTTTAGCATAATAAGTTACTTAGTTTTATGATAAATCTACTTTTTTGAATTTAAATTTCTGTTAGATTTGTTAGGTTTGTTGAGATATTTTGGGATTTTTAAATTCCTCTTATGCAGATTTTTCTGCAGATTATGTTCCTAATTGGCTATTTAAAGCCTTGGTATACTTAATAAAATTATTGAGAGACTTTTTCAATCAATACTTTAAATCCTTTTGCCGTCCCATCTTTTTAAAAACCAACACAAGCCAGCCTTTTTCCAAAGTTGGATCAATCAGGAGCCTTTGACATGCTTGGAATCTCAATGAGTACACAAGAATGAAAATAGAGGAATTTTCATAAAACACTACAGTTAGAGCCTAATTACCATACACAACTATAGTTTGCCTAATTATCATTCGTAGCTACTGTTCAATTATTACCAGCTTGTACCATTTGCATTCAGACGCACAACGAATACAACCTGTAACAACTGTATTCGTTCGCGCAACGAATACAACTTGTATCAACTATATTCGTCGCGCCACGAATATAACCAAGACAAAATACAAGGATGATATAAAGGATACAACATGTATCGACTGTATATTCATTCGCACAGCGAATACAACCAGGGCGAAATACAAAAATACAGAAAAATAGAATGTTCTAGTTGAGAGTCGAACTCAAGACCTCCGCTTAGTAAGCGGGACGCTTTAACCAATTGAGCTACATGAGCTTATTGCTCTCTTGTTTCAGTTCAAAACAATTGATCTCTTTGTAACACCCCGTACATTCAGACTAGGTGTGGATATGTTAAATGGGTATTAATTTGATATTTTAGACATATGAAGTCCTATCAGGATGATTATGGGTGAAAATAGTTATTTCAAAATCAAGATGGAAAGTGAGGTGCATAAGATTTGACAAAATCGACTAAGTTTGCAGAAGGTTCGTATTCCAGCAGGTTTTAGTAAAAATGAGTAAGGAATTTGGGAAAACTCAAAGCATGAAAGTTGTAAGCCTTTGAAATAGCTTTCCAACGATATATTATGGAGCCCGAACGGATCTCTGTGCAAAAAGTTATGCGCGTTTTACAGAACAGTATGTGATATGCGCGCCGGTAGCGCGCCCTTAGCGCAGCCGCGCTAATTTTGAGGCAGTGTTACTGCCGTTTAGCGCGGTCAGTAGCGCGGGCAGGCCTACAGATGCGCGGGTGCGCTAGTGGGGGGTCGTTTTAAAGCCATATTTCGTCCCCCACAGCCCCAAAACATAAAAACTTGCTCTAGAAAGGAGAACTCTCAAAAACCTAACTCCCTAAGGGTCCTTCCACCACCCAATGTAAGTTCTAATGGTGATTCTAAGTTAATTTCAATATCCCAACATCTTATTAACATGGGTAAACCCTCCATATCATTAGATATTCGTTTGGGGCATCATTGTTGAGAGAAGAAACCCTAGAACTCGAATTCAAGAAGATTGAACGTCAAAAAGGTAATGTCTTCACCCTCTAATTGATTCTAGCATTGGATTAATGATTATTGACTCAAGTTCATGAGATATGAGTTGATGGGTTTGATAGAAAAGCATGAACAATTATAGGTTTGGCTTGTTGATTGTTGATTATTGGTTAAGGGTGTTGTTTACCTTATGGGTGATAAAGAATAATGTTGATTATAACCATTTGAGACTTTAGAATTTATTTAGGAGCAAGAAAATGGGTTATTGGGTGTAGAAACATCATTAATAAGGACTATGAAGTTTTATGCCACCAAGTGTTTGAGAAAATGCCTAAGTGACCAAAACATGAGTATTATTGCTAATATGGAATCCCCTTGACTTGTATTGATATAGATTGAAATTGAAGGGGTTGACGAATGTTGTATTATGCTCAAGAGCAGGAAGTTAAGGTATGTGAGGCTAA